TCAGTGTGTCTTTCTTTTTTTTTCTCTCAGAACTATGCCATTTTGCTTACTTTGGTTTTGTAATAGAGTTGGACATCTGGTATCATGATGCACTCAGCTTTGTTCTTTTTGTTCAACATTTTGGTGGCTACTAGAGATCTTTTGTGGTTCTATATGGAAGAAGAAAATCTTTAACCCAAGCAAAAATTTGAGTATGAAGAGAGATATCACCTTAGAAATGCCTGTGGTACTTACAGGTGGTCACTGTGACCCAGCGAGAAGCACTGGGGACTTGAGAGAGAAATGAACAGCTGCCACTGCTGGAGCATGGTCTCAGCAGGCACGGGTGCTGTTCAGGACCAAGGGCTGCTGCTATCACAGCTGCTGGTCGGTGCCAGTGCTGCATTCTCATCTTCTGGATCTGGATTTGCAGAGCCTGAGTGAGCTGTAGAGCCTTTCAAGGCAGCCGTGCTGGGCTGCGTGGAGCCCCCTGTTCCTCTGCTCTAAACCCCACTTTTGAAAGGCAGCCTCCCTTCTCTAGCTGAGCATAGGTTCTGGGTGGAGGGAGCTCATTATTCTGCGAAGCAGCTGGTGCAGATAATGAGAATGCTTGCAAAGAGCAGCACAGTGTCCTAATTACCTGTGGCAAGGAAAACATCTGTGTAAGAAAAGTAATGAAATTAATTCCAACGTCTAGCAGTTGCATACATTAATTGACATTAATTAATGCCAAATTACAAGATGCTTCCTATGGAATGGCATGATACATTCACCAGAATTGGATATGGAAAGAGTTCATCATACTTAATGCTATTACAGCAAGCCCTGAGGGGGATAGGAGGGATTGGTCCCTCATTATAAAAGGCAGCCAGCTTCTTTCTATTTCCATTAGGAAGAGAAAGGGAACAAACCAGGAGCACTTTACCAGGCATTCAGCTCAGAACTGATCCTTTGCCCTTCAGCTTGTGAATTTTACTTTGAGACATTCTGAGCAAGAAGTGGTTTAAAGGCTTCTTCAGGGCTTTCTTTCATGTCACCTAACTGCACCTTGTAATTCGCAACCCAAAAACGGGTTTAGGTCACAGCTCAGCCACAGTGTGCCTGTGCCATACGGCGAAAGGAGGAAAAGAGAAATGCAGAGAAATCAGATGCAGCTGATTGCTGAAGCCCAGGGCTCCTCCCCCACTTCCTACCTCAGAAGTCCTGGATGAGGGGTTTGTAGGTAGATCGTGCAGTCTTCCTGCACTGCTGCCTTTCCGTTCTTGTTGAAATTTCATGTACATGTTTTATTCATTTACAACTTGCAAAAAATGTGGATCCATAATGCACATAGTTTAAAAATCTTTTATTTCGGAATGATTTTAGATTGAAAAGCTATGAGGATTGTTTAGAGTGCATGTGCTCTCTACCCAGTCTCCTAGAGTGGTAACGTTTACAAAACCAATGCTTATTTTTCAAAACTAAGGAGTTAGCACTGATGTGATATAATTAATGGGTAAGTTCCTTTTATAATATAAAATTCATTAAGCAGTCCCTTGTGGAAGCAGGAATTTCAATAGGAAACCATGCATTGGATAATTAGTCATTCCTCTGTTGTTGCCCATTTTGTTTTCTCTAGTTTTATTTTTATTACTAAACAAAGCTCTGATGAGCATCCAGGTGGCTGAATCCTTAGGCCAATCACCGTCTCCTTAGATAGAATTCTCAGAAATGAACTTGAGCTGAAAGACACATTTTTAAATATCTCTAGCTAGATTGTCTAATTACAACTTAAAATCTAATGTGCAGGTGTTTTCATTTTGTATCTAGGTATATCTGTTGACGCCCAGATAGAAAGAAGACAAAGTACATTTTATTAAAAATTGACTCCAAATGCACTGAGGGTTTTCATGCAATTTAGTGTACTAGAAATAAACCAAAGGCACAGTCGGGCCAACCAAGTGAAAACCCTATACAGTACTGCCGTGTCTTCAAAGTCTGTTGCTTTGAGCTTCACTCTAGCTACAAAATTAGTTGATTTATTCTGTAGTGTTGTGAGGATGAAATGTATTAAATCAATGTGAACATCTTCAAAATGTTTGACAGATAGATGCGCAACAAATGTTACTTTCTGCACTTCCTTATTTTCTCCTCCACCCCTCAGATATATAATTTCAGTATAGATGAGTTACACATACGATGTGTGTGTTTATATTTTCCATCTTATGTTTGATAAGGGATCTGTGAAATGGAGATACAGGTCTTAAGCAAAAACTGTTAGATGCTATTGAAAATTAAACAAGGATTGTTTATCCATCCATAAGTCTTCATTACGTATCAGCTCTAGAAATGATCATGGAAGTTGTATTTCTAATTGCAAGTCCAATAACTCCTAATGAGAAATGTCTGACTGAATTTTCTTTAACTGTCGTCTTTATTCATTATCTCACATGAGAATCACGGAGGCAGAATAGATCTAGACTTGATAAGGTAGGAGCTCAATGACGTCATCCAGAAAGAGACCCTTTCTCTGTGTTTTCCACACTCCTTCATGAGCTTATGTATAAGACGGCTTCTTCAGCTAATGGGAGGGCCAGAGGAGGTCCCCAAACCCTGTATTATTGTTCAGGGATGAGGAGGGGCTCCTCCAGGGTCTCCTGGTGCGTCCCTCTCTTCTCATTTGCGAGCACCGGGTTTAAATGACCTCTTTAAATTAATCAATGACAAGGAGACAAGGACAGTCCTGAGTGGGCTTAGACCCAACAAGATGAATCCTTACACTGAGAAATTCCCCATCACAGGTGGACAGAATGGCCAACAGATCTCGCATTGGCTTTTTCAACAACTACAGAAGAGTGGATATTATCAGTTCACTAACTATATTTCCGTGCAGCTAGACTATTCAAGTTCAGTTTATTTCATCTTTTTAAGGACTGACTATGTGCCTCCAATTAATTTTATGATGGTAAAAGAGAAAGCAAGAATATTAACCTGCTTGACAATAACAACATTCTAGAAGTTTGAACTTCAAAACATTTAGCATTATATTATTTGATAAATTTTATCTAGTAGCTAATCTACTAGACAGCTGATATTGTTATTTTTGCTTAATAGATAAAGGAATCAGGATTTGGGAAGATGAAATGATTCCCTGTGAACTCAGCAGCTAGCGAATGGCCACCCCAGAACTTAAATCCAGTTCTCATAGTCACAAATCTTCTTTGTTTCCATGACTGCAAATTACTTTTTGAAAAAGTAAAGTTGCTTAAAAGCCGAAAAGGAATGTGAAATTAGAGAATCAGGAGGAATGTAAAATTGCGAGGTAAAATTTTGTGTGTCATAGGAAGAATGATTCTGGAAGGAGATGAGACCCAGAAATTATTTTAAGGAAAAATATCTTTAGTTGTGCTCTAAAATATGAATATCTGAAAAGGGAGAAAATATCTGAAAAGGCATAGAGCATTTACTTCAAATTTGAGGATGGTTTTACCAGGGGTACATGGGGGAGCGCTGGGGAGCCACCCCATGCCCACAGGAGGCTGCAGGTGAGGGGCGGTGAGTCAGGCTGTCGCTCATCTGCAGCCCACAGCAGTAGCCTCCTTCTTCCGTGGAGGTGGTGGTCCTGGGGAGGCCTACCCTGCTCATGTCCTCTGGAGAAGTCTTTCGTACACCCTCATCTCTGTCCCTGCGCAGGACTCCCATCCCCACTACACCTACGTGGTCCTCTCCTGCTGTGTGCATCCGGAAGAGGCACTGTTCTTTGAGCTCTTAAAACACCGACTCAGGCATTAACCATCAAAAACAAGTGCAATAGCTTCTTCTATTCAGAAACATTTATTTCAGTAAGGAGGCCTTTTCTAGCAGACCTTCATTTACGGCCTGCTATATACCAAAACTTGAGTCTACAGCAAAGAGCAAAAAATAGATCAATGGATGGATGGACAGATACAAGAAACAAATGAGAAAAGATGAGAGAGAGAAGAAAAAGAAAGACAACTGTCTTCATGGAGTGTCTCACTGGAAATTACATTACAATTTGAGTAGCATATAGAAATAAATAAAATAATTTTATATTTTAATAATGTCTGTGGAAAGAATTCACAGGACGGTGTATCATAGGGTGTAATCGTGGAAGGTTCTGAAGTGAGCTGAAATCTATAGCCTTCTTTGGAAACAGCCTGTGGGGGAAGCATTTTAGGCAGAAAGAATATATGTGAAACATTTCTCAGATGGTGGAAAGTTTGGCCAAGATCCTGAATGTAAAAGTAGGTAGAATTAGAAAAACCTCAAGAAAGATACAAAGAGGGGCATGGGGAGAGGCAGGAAGGTGGAGTGGTGGGTTTAAATTTATTCCGAGTGCAGCGAGGCAGAAGCGGTCTGAAGTAAGGGTGGACACGATGTAATCCAATGGAGTCCTGAGTATCTGGAATTGGAAAGTGGGACAGCATAGATCCGCAACAGACACCGACTGGGTGTGAGAGCATGAGACAGACGCTGCGTGTGCCAGCCGGGGTAGTTTTCAGTGAGATCCAGGGTCTCAGTATGCTCGTCTATAGACTCAGGAGTCTCTATTGTGTTTCACTTCTAGTCTGTAGTGGAAGAAATACCCTCACCCTAATAACAATCCTCTTACTTAGAGTAGCACCTCTGCCAGCAAAGATGGTCCATGCTCACCCGCGTGTGTTTCCCTGTCCATCGGTCCAGTCAGGGTGTGGAGGGAAAGGCCACCAAAGAGAAAACTAGAACTGTGAAGCCACAAGTGTTACTGCCAGTTTTCCAGAATGCTTCGTTTGGGAGAGAAAAAGAAAGAACAAATATTTGGTATTTGATCATGACAGGAGTTTGTGGGGGAATCAGGAGAGAGTGGCATTGATAGCAAAGGGGGTAAAATAACAATGATAATAATGATAATGAAAACAGTGATGCACTTAAAAGATTGCGAGCCTTCTTTAAAGACGTGGAGATAGTAAAGGAAATACAGAGATATCCACTCCGAGTCTAAAGCTCTGTGTGTACACCCCCATCCTGTTTTGTTTTTCCAGATTCACAATATCTAACTTGCAGAATGCAGAACTGCACTGAAACCAACAAAAATAAACCTTTCCCGGGCTACATCGACCCAGACTCTCTGATTGTCCAGGATGACTATGTGTTTGTTCAGGTAAGAAAGAGCCCCTTCTGCCGGCTGTCTCAGCAGTGCTGGCCTGTTTCTGGCTCTGTCCTAGTCCTTCCTGCCTGTTCAAGGCCGGGAGAGTAAAGATGGGAGGAAGATGGAGGGTTGGGTCTGTCTGCCTTTGGAGGACCTGCCTGGCCAGGAGAGCTCTGCTTAGCCTCCTGAGATTCTCACCACAGCGGGGGTGGGCCCTGTTCATCCCACCCGCTTCCCCAGGAAACCTCCAGCCAGCAAAGCGACTGATAGATGTGTCAGTCTCTTCTCACCAAGGAACCCGGGCCGGTCAGTGGCCTGGTACTGTCTTAAAGGTAGAGGCCAGACCAGGGAGGGGAAGCTCTGTGCTGCCTGGGAGTTGGGGACGCAGTGGCCAGGATGAGAACAACCAGCTTTGCCTGGACTGTGATTAGGAGATGGAGACTGAGCATGAAGGCATTCAGCTCGGCTTTCACCCCCGAGAACGGGGTGCTCGTGAGGAGTTAGGAGAGGAGGAGTGTGAGCGTGCTTTGCTCCTTTGAAGCAGTTTTGGGAAATTTAGTCTTGTTTGGACGATGCACTTAAACATTCAGTTGTTACTTTCCATTTCGAACATGACTGACGTAGGTATAATTGCTAAATAGCTTGTGTGTGCATAAATAAAAACACAAGGACATACATTCTAGACGTTTGTGTGTGTGTGTGTGTGTGTGTAAAATTGTGATTTGGAATATTTGAAAATTGTGTTGTGAAGCTATTTTAAAATGTCTAGCACCAGCCTGTGTACTGTTTGAATGTTTCACAAATGATTTAGCATGCCCACCATTTCCTTTTCCTTCAGAGAAATTAGTAAAGAATACTCTGATAATTTCAAGTGACATTCAAATAGTTACATAGTCCGGTCTGTCTGATGCATTTCTCAATCAGGACCTCTCCCAGGAACCTTTGCTGGTTTCTAGTAACATTTTATAATCCACGCATATGACTTACAAATGAAACTCAGCTCTGCAGTTACAAGCTCACGTATTTTCTACCCATACCATTATGGCCATGATTCTGTCACCATCACCGGGCTAAGAGGTGGTCTGCCACCTACTGGTGAGGAAGTTGGTAACTTTCCCATTCCTGCTGCAGGCTCACCCCAGCGTTCGTTGTCATTCTGAGCGTGCAGACTCTGGGCAACTTCGATCTCCAGGCTTTTGCAGAGGTCCACAATGGCTACTGAGCAGTGAGGGATAGACAGGGGACCCTTGATAGTGTATCCCTACATGGCACTCCTAAGACAGAGTCAGACTCTTTGTTGCCCTGCCTCACACCCATGGCTTGTACGTCCTAGACAAAATGCCCAGTCTTCACAGTTTTCTTTTGAAAGAGATCTGGAGTTTCAGTGCTGCCTTGCTTTTCTCCCTGGCGTGCCACCACTCCCTTCTGTGGGACATGAGCACAGTCAGTGCGACTCCGTCTAACTGGGCCGGGTACCGGAGATGTGAGCACCCTTCTGCTGTTTGACCGGGACTGTTTCTGCCTAGTGCAGCCAGTGCACCTGTTGATGTGGCTGTGCACTTGGGGCCGGGAAGCTCAGCTGCCTGGCGACAATGAGCCAGGGTAGCCCGAGGCTGGGATTACTGGGGAGAAAACTAGCTGAGCCTGTTTCCTGGCCTCAGGGCACAGTGCCGAAGGAGGAGTGGAATTTTTTCGAGCAGGTTCAGTGTGGGCCTCCGACCAGTGCACCTCCAGCGTGACTTACCTTTGAACACTTGCCGCTTTTCGCAGTTGTCCAGCCCACTGCTGCGTGGGTGGGTAACTGCCCCCTTCCACTCAAGCTCCTCTGTGACCCAAAACCTTTTCAGCAGCTCTTCTTACAGCCTTGTTTTTACATCACAGCTGACATCGGGGGGAAGACCACATTACTATGTGTCCTACCGAAGGAACGCCTTTGCACAAATGAAGCTTCCGAAATACGCCCTGCCCAAGGTACGTCCGGTCCTGCCTGCGCCCCCAGCACCCGCAGTCCCTCTCTCTGTTTCTCAGTCTCCTGCTTCCTTACTTTCTAGCTCTGCCAGTCTCACTGCCCTCCTTTCTTGGTCTTTTTTTGTCTCATTCTCCCTTTTCTCCTTTCTCTTTCCTTCTCGCTCTGGAATTCCTGATATTAGAGAACTGACTTAGTAACTGATTTATTTCTGTTTTTCAGTAGTAAAGATTTTCCACCGATGTGCATTAATATTCTGTTGATATGGAAAAGTAAACGTGTTCTATCAGGGCCATAGACACGACCCACTTCTACCTCTGTTGCTAGGACAAAATGTGTATTGAGGGTGCGGCACACACGACTCCAATCGCTACTTTCTTTCTTTCCAGTGAGACTTAGAATACGTGTCTTTAGGGTTGTGCTGCACAACTAACGTTTTTGGCCCTCTGGACACACTGTCCTTTGGAAATAAGGCCTAGGCCTTCTCCGGCCGACATCCAGTCTCTCCGGAGACGGACACCGAGCTGTTGATGAGCAGCGCCACCTGGTGGAGGTCTCACACGGGCGCTCAGCCGCACGTGCAGTGTCGCAGCCCTTCCGGTGTATTTTAAGTTTGTTATTACATCGTGGCTTAATCTCAGAGCAGGGGAGATAGATGGGTGTGGGAGATTGGTAAGAAGAGGATTCTGCAGGTTCTGTTAAAATGATAGCTCGGCTTTGAAACTTTTAAGTTGCACAAAGATCGTAATGAACTTGTCGAGTCTTGGTGCGTTTCTCTTTTATTTTCATCCTTGATTTGTGGTGTGCTATCTTGGGCCCACACCAGCGAGCTGCTCGAAAATTATGATAGAAACAGCGCAAGGGCATAGCAGGACTCCTCTCTCAGGAGATCCAGTGGTGATAGATTCCACTGCCTTTCCTGGGCACAATTCTCTCCCTTGGCCACCACTCTACCGCTTACCCCAACAGTAGGGGCTGTCATAGCCCTGTAGAGGTAATAATGCACGATTAACCCCACCCACCTATGTCCATGTTAGTAGTTAATACTAGTTAATACTGTTTTCAGCTCCTCAGAGATTAAGCACTGTGGTAATTGCCCAGAACCATATGTCTGTGTGGGTATACACATTTAAATGCTTCTTGCTCATGATTTGGCTTAGTTTTTTTTTTCTAAAACAAGATGAGAACGCACAACGATGACTTATGTGTTAGATGAGAATTGGATGGAATTTGTATGTAAACAAAAACTGAGTGTTATTAAAATTACCCTTGATAATCTCTTAGGAAAGTTCCTGAGGAAAATGGACAAATTTTCTCCGTAAATAAAGCAGAGTTCCCACCTACTCCAGAGTACTAAAATAAATTGTGATTTCTTTGGCCAAAAATGAAGTAGATAGCTTGCAAGGTTTGTGCCATTAAAAACAAAAATTATACTCAGTGCAGTGGGAAGTTGTGGTCCAAGAGGCAGGTGGAATTGGGACCCAGTCAGGAAATAGCACTCGATTCCTTCACTGAATGCTCTCTTAGGTCAGCCTGCTCTTTGAGCGAAATAAGTCTTGCCAAGACAAAATGCCATTTGCCACAGAATCGAGGCTAGAACTCTAGTTTTCTGACACCCAAGGTAGCGATTATAAACTTTTATGCCTTTGAGAGTGAACCGTCACTTCTCTTGTTAAAACATAACATCACCGTCATCCCCTAAATTTGATATATCTATATTAGCAACATTGAGGGGAAACACCCCTGTGACCTAAGGAATCCCAGAAGCAGAAGCATACAATCAGAGAAGCTTCTAGGACCCCACGGCTGATGATCCCGGAGAGACCACATTGCTTGTTCAGAGCCCTCAGGCCCATTACGGCTGACAGTCCCCCCAGTGGCATCTGGCCAAGGTAGAAGCAGAAGTTTGACTTTGAACCTGAATCAGCATCTGTTTCCTCCCTCTGCTTTCCCAAAGGACGATGTTCCATGATTCGGCCTCATTTGCACTCCGAGGGTAGAATGCAGTAATTAAATTAGCTTGTTCCCACAAAATGGGAGCTAGTACAGCAAATGAATGGGTTATTTGGTCCAGGTGGGTGTTTATTATATAAAGCCATGAGTGGCTTCATTACAATCCCATTACACCTTCAAAGAGAAGCCCCAGCATGGGTGGAGGGACCTGCAGCAGAGGGGCATGTATTTCATGGCCTTCTGTCAGGCCCAGGATTGCTGCCACTGAAAAGGAACAAAGAAACCTTCCCTCCAACCAAAGGAATAGAGACAAACCAGCATTTTCATGCTCAAATTTTATTTAATTATCTGTTCCCATTGTATCCAGCTCCTGAAAAATCAGAATTCCCCTGAGCTGTGTTTTAAAAAATTAATAACATAATGGTAAAGAATAGGCAAGGGAGGACATTGCCCTTGCTGTTAAAAGCTCATAGTCCTCTCCTCAGAGAGAGAGCGATAGTCTTTCTTCCCTGAACTTACTTGGAGCACATCCTGAGCCACTCAAGTGAGATGAATGAGGCAATACATATGAAAGTGCTGTGAGCATTTTGGAGGACAGATACTCTATAAAAGCAAGGTAATATTATTATTAGTATGGATCCGGTTGTCTCTTGGTAGAAGATCAATGGGCACCAGGGTACACGTGGTGTAAACGCTGTTTGATTTGTGACAGAAGACCCAGATTTGGGCCTGGATCTGCCACTAACTTGTGTTGAAACCTTGGACAGCTGCTGTATCCATTTTTCTTTGCCTAATTTTTTTAAATAAGGAGCTTAAATACAGAATAATAGTTTCTCAGATCTATTAGAATAAAATGACCTTGTTGATAGCCCAGAAAAATTTCATCCTGTGATCAAACAACTTAAGAAAAAAAAAGAAGTCCCTCCTGTGTCCCTTTCCTGGAGACAACTTGTGGGGTGTTGGAGATTCTGGACTGCCCTATCACCCGAAGCTCTGGTTCAGCATTAATTAAAACATTTCACCAAAGGAGTCCTTGCTCCCTCTTTTTAGTCTGTTAAAATCCAACAATGTGAGTGTCTCACACAACAGACTTTTGTGCGCCAATAGAAGAGCTGTAAGTTTCCATCTTGGTCTAAAATTGTGTGATTCAGTGAAAGAGAAAGAGTATTTTCATGATAGAAGAGGAGGATTTAGGCAAGAAGGAAAAAGAAGGGTGGCATTTGAAATGTCAGATTTTTCCATTCAAATATTTAAAACCAGCATCATTTTTTTAAAAATCTGTTCAATGTAATTAGATTATATGAAGAGAAAAAGAGATCAGTTCTCAGCATATCTCAACACGATCACTTTAGTCTGTTTTTCTGTGACTAGTCTCTGAGTAATCTAGATTAAAACACTCGATGCATCTGGGTTTTCAGTTACAAATCTACAAAATGAATGCCATGCATGGTGAGTTAGAACAGATAACCTACTCCAGTGTTGGATTATTTAATCAAACATCTTCTGTGAGGACTCCAGAAATTCACCAATGCAGAAATTCACTCTGAAGGTACAGAGGTGGGAAGTAGCTGTATGCTCTTGCCAGCTTACTTTTGCAAGTTTAACTTGAATTTGGGGATTAGATAACATTCTTCAGAAGGAATTCAACATGAGTTGAGAATGCCCATTTGGTAGCTGTAAGTGCCAGGGTAGAAGTTTTGGTCTTCACCCTGTAGTAAATGGTGAGCCTGGAAAGGTTTGCCTATCAGTGGAGTAAGGAATGGCCTCCATTAAGAAAGAAAACATTTGAATGAATCTTTTGTTGAGTATATTACTGAGTACTCTAACATTTACAACACAGCAAAGCCAAAGCAACCTTGCTTAAATAATAAAGGGGGTAGAAAGGCTCTCTTAACTGAAAATTTCTAGCAAATATGGAGCAAATAATGCTAAGTGTCAGACAGTGAGTGCTTAATAAGTGGTTTTATCCTCACCAATCTGAGGGAGGCATGCTGCTATATCTCTGTTTTGCAGCTAGAAATTCTAGACACAGAATTTGTTCACGTGTCTAAATTAGAGTCAAGGACTAAGCTCATATTAAAGTGAGAAGTTTTGGATAGAAGTTAGAATTCCCCAGTACTAGAATTTTAGCCAAGGAAGATTGTCAGGTCTCCTGAAGCCTCTTCCAGGATTGAGCAAGGCCCATTTGTGAAAATGTTAGTGGCTGGCAAGAATCTTTCCACGTTCCTAGTCTATGTTTGTGATCATGTGCAACTCTTGACTTTTTCTTCTGCTTATTTTGCTTTTTGGTTTTTGAAGTTGTAGTGTGCCTACTGGTTTGGCTAGAGGATAGAATACAGCTGGGAGCATCTGAGGAGGCCTCCCCAAGAGGAGACAGTAAGGCTGCTCCGTGCTGGCCTCAGTCTGTCCAGGGTTCTGAAGGGAGAAGGAGGATTTGGAGCTCCCATCCAAGGAGCATCTGTCTGCTGCCGCCGTGATCCCTAAAAGTTTCCCCCAGAACCCCTCAGAGCAGAGGTTTTGGTTGTCAGCTTAAATACTAATGAATGGAAGTCAGCACTACGGGTCTCTGAGGAAACTTTTTCTCCTGGGGGTTGATGGGATTGTGAGCCTTAGGGGGGGCTTTTCAAACTTGAATGTGCCGACTGTTCCCATAGGAATTTTGATTCCTTACATGGGAACAGGGGTTCTGGAGTCTAAGGAGCTTGGTGGTGATCCCTGTGTTGCTGCTTCATGGGCCACAGTGAGAGAAGCAGTATTTGTTTATTTCCTCTTTGCCTCCAAAGATTTTTCTCATATTCATTCCATGTAAATGTGCCACATTTGAGCCTGGCAAATATATCAGAATGATTGGTTCTACGAAATCATGTATATGTAGGCATATGTTTTTCCAATTATCTAATAAGGTGATTAAATTATAACTCAGCTGCTAAGCATCCCTCTGTCTTATTTTCTCATGACCTCACTGCCTAACCCCACAAGTGACAAAGGAAATATGTGATTAAAACTTAACAAAGTAATTATTGTTTGCCACATGCTAAAAAGGAAGCTCTCTGTCCTTCATTAAAGTGCTAGCTCCTATTCGACAGTGCACTGAGTGGATTAATGTATAAAAGCCTATTTCCACACCACTTCCTTGTCTTTCTGCAGGACATGCACGTCATCAGCACAGATGAGAACCAAGTGTTTGCAGCTGTCCAAGAGTGGAACCAGAATGACACATACAATCTCTACATCTCAGACACACGGGGCATCTACTTCACCCTGGCCTTGGAGAATGTCCAGAGCAGCAGAGGCCCTGAGGGCAATGTCATGATTGACCTCTATGAGGTATGTCACTGGGTTTCCTGGGCCTGAGCCTCAGCAGCTCCTGGATGGCCAAGGAGGGGCTGGTAGTTGATTGATCATTTTAATGCCAGGTCCCTATGTGGCCTGTTCCACTTGGGAGATGGCGGGATTTTTAAAGGATTTTTATGAGTTGGTTTGCCCAAGCCCAGGGATATGAAGCCCCAGGGACTTGGAGAATGTCTGGGAATGCAGCTTAGTAGTTTGCACAAGAGAGATCTCCCTGTGATATTTCAAAATAGCTCCCAAGGGCAGATGAGGTGTTTCTAAAGAGTGGCTGGGGGCTGCTCTTGCTCATCTCTGAAGGAGTGAAGGAGACGGGCTGTCCTTGCTTGCCAGCAAAACACTTCCTTTGGCCTTGCAAGCCTTTCTGGCCTCCCTTGGCTAATGACCCTCTTCTCCCATGGCCTTGGCTTGAGGTAAAATCAGTAGATTCTTTTTCCCAAATTTGGAAAAATAAATGAACAAACAACAACACAGCAGAGCTTACCAGACTTCCCTAAGGGAAATAGGGCACTTTGCTTCCCAAAATAACCAAAATTCAAAATAAAAACAAGAAAGTTGGACCAATCAGCTTTTAAGGCACATCTCAAAGATTTAATTGCCTCTTAAGGCACAGATAGGTACGAAGAAAGTTACTATTTGGTGGTAGATTTTTACCATTTTTCAGTTTTGTACTTGAAGGATTTATAATGGGTGATGATGAGACATTTACAGGTACCTTCAGGGATTGGTGAAGTGATATCATATACCTATATTCTATTTGAAAAACATCCTAAAATAGACTCAAATATGTACATTCATAATGACAAAGTGGTTCTGTTGAGGATACATTCAGGAATCAAATGGCTGTTTGTATAACAAGAAGCAATGGAGTTATATTCAGTATGAGAGGAATGAATTTCCCTTATGAAATTGAAGCCCATCATTGTAATTTTGCTTAGTGTTTCCATCTTCTTTCTCCCTCACAATTTTCTGGGAATGTTCTTCTGATAGGTCAACTTCCCTGTGTGTGTCGAGGCACATTAATAAACCGTATGCTAATCTAGAATCCAAGTGTTTTTTTAACAGAATTATCACAGATTAGCACAGAACATAGTTTGTATGTATATATTTAGAAAAATACACTGAAAACTTTTTTATATTTTCATAGGTTTTCTTCACTTTCTCTCCAGCCCATGTTTAAGATAAACATAGCATCGTGGGAGATATTTATGTATTCTGAGGACTTAGTTTCACATTCATTCTGGATAAAATTTAGAGCATAGATTTTTGGACTCAAGTTGCCTGAGATTAAATCCCCTCTGTACCATGTGTATAGATTCTTGAGACAGATCTTTCCCCTGTGAACTGCTGTCTCTTTGGTTTAAAATATGGAGATAAAAGCTGTACCGGAGAGGATTTCTCTGAGGATGAAATAAGCTCATCCTTCTAAAGTACTGAATGTGATGTCTGAAATGCAACAATGCTCAACAAATTATAGGTAGCAAAATTAATATTATGTTCAATGTATCTAAACACCAGTATAATATTCTACTCTTGTATCCTTCAACACTTACTCATATTATTTAAACATTCAATACTTTTCTTTTGAGTTCCTATGTCTTGTATGTTGCAGTTTGCCTGACCACAAGACATTCTCTAATGCCAGCTAGCTGTGTTCTTATAAACAGATGTAAATCCCCACATTTCTTTCTCATTTGTAAATGTCTCATGAACATGTAAATATGAAGGATGTCTTGTTGCAGGCCACGCATTCTCTTGCCTTGATCCGGTGTGTGCGATAGAAAGGTCATCTCGAGTCTTGAGCTGCTATGAAGTCCAAGATCAGCCCCAGTTTAGTCATCCCATTTGCTTTCCTGGACTCATTCTTTCCTTGGTCTCTAAAAAAAACAGTAAATTAAATTAAAAATAGAAAAGCCCTGATGTTGAGCTTGCTTTTCCCCCTTCCTGATTATCTCTCCCTCCTTTTGAAATAAAGTCTCTGGATGAATTGTGTTTTCTGCCAAAAATAGAGACCATTTTAATTGGTCCCATGATGGTGGGAAAGATGACAGATCTGGACAGGAATGACAATGCAATCTCTTGTTATTTGCAGCTATTTTCACCAATGATTTTCTGAATCCAAACATTGGCATCAGGTACGGAATGAAAAGAAGCAAAGTGACCTCTGAACGTGGCCAACTTTTCTTTGTTAATGCTGCCTTTCCCCTAGGTGTCTTTCTGGCCGGACTCTCTGCAGGGCAATGCTGGCTCTTGTTCTTGTCACTGTGAGTGGTGGCGTGACTGTTATGTAAAGCTGTTCTGCATCCTGGGGCCAGGAGGGAAGTGCCTTCGTTTTATTAGCCTGACAGTTCACAGCAACTTGAATTGAAATTGATGTGATCGGGATGGCAGTGCCGTATCTGCTGATTACCTAGATAGAAAGAATATTGGTGGACCCAGAGCCTGGCACAAATGTTCCCTTAAATCTGATTGTTCTGGCTAGCAGGAAGCTGAAAGCCATCCAGCATGAATTTCCCAGTAGAATTATAATGAATGATGAAAACTTAGAGATAAATGAAAAGTAAGAAAATCCATACATGAATTAATAAGGAGCAGAGACGAGCAGCCCATGAGGTGGGGCTGACAGCGACAGAATACACAGAGTGCGTGCTTGCTGGCCTTCCAGGGCGAGAGAGGAGAGTGTCATTTGTTCTCAGTGTCCTGCCGCATGCCAGTGCCCTGCTACTGCCATGTGTGTGTCCAGTTTAAGATGCTTTGGCAGAGGCAAACCATATAATGTGTAAGAGTGTGGGTGGGTCTGTGGATGAAGGACAGGCAGAGCTGGTGGGGTTTTGTGGAAAATACAGAAGGAAGAACTGTTCTCATTAAAACCAATCATTCTGTTTGCATTCAGATTGAAACCTGGCTAAAAGCGCTTCCCTCTCTGCTCTAGAACTACGTGTGGTGTACGGAATGAGATAGGGAAACGTTTAGGCCTATGTGTTGGGGGACAGAAAGCTGAGGTTTAGTTCCTGGAAATCAGAATTTTCTCTAAGTGTGAGTTAGCCATTGAACATGTACCCTGTTCCAGAGGGCCAAGAAATGTGAGCCCGGAAAGCATAGTGCCACCATATTAGAAATGGGGATTTGTTGATGCGATATAAGAGCTAATACTTTGGGGCACTATAATGTGCAAAGCTCTGTTTAAAGAACCTTATGAACTATCTCATTCAATTTACATATTAATTTCAAGATTTAGGGACTGACATCACTTCTCTCTCAGTAAATAAATACAATTTGAGAGAAAGAAAACAGCCACATTTACAGGATTATAAAACTAGTAAGTGGCAGAACTGGAGAATGCAGGAATATTGACGTGTATGCAAACTCTCAACCCTAAAGTACCATATCTCCCTGAAAGGTCAGTATCTGGGATTACAGTGGATTGTGAATAAAGAATAGTATCAAGATTAAAGGACACCAGAGGGCAGAACAAATAGCGTTACGTTTTCCCTACCAGGGGAACAGAAAAGCAGTCTGAAAGAAAATCGGTGTAAAGAGAATCAGCAGTTGATTGTTCCAGACCTATGTGCCACCTTCTCAACCAGGTCCTGTAGGATAGCCAAGTGCAGGTAATGGCTCCCAATTTTGCCTGGTGCATTTTGTGTGTAAGAAAAGCCTAGTGGATTATGTGTTTCATACACTAAAACAAGTGTATCAAAATTCTGCTATCCGGAGTAGCACAAGCATTGCAGTGGCATTGTGAGGGCTGAGAAACAGAACACAGCGTCTTGAGGTGGTCAGAGAAAAGAGATGTGAAGAGTGTGCCGTGACAGGCAGTTCCTAGTATATTTGTGTGGTGCGGCTGATGAAAGGAGTCTGACAGCTTTGGACACTATCCCCCTCCTTTGGGAAGGGAATACTAATCAACGATGAGGAAGAGCGCTTTGGCTTAATGGACAATGACTGTTCACGAACCCAGCTGAGTGAGCGGCTTGTGTTGGGAGTGAAGCCACCTGGCTGATAAATTCAGACTGCACAGGAAAGCGTGCAAATGAGAGTGAGTCACAGTCGGTGTCATAAGCAGCCTGCTGGTGTACATCACGGGAGAGGTAACCAGGGAGCAGGAGGGTCCTGTGGCACACTTCATGTGTCCGCTCTTTGAAAGAGAAAACTCAACTGTCTTGATAGTGTAGTTCTGGGGAAAAACTTGCCTCTTAAATCCCAGAATAAGAGGTAAACAGGGTAAACATGGACTCCATCCCAACATACATTCATCACAGTTTGTAGAAGAGGCCATTATCTCTCTAGGAAGAGAGCGCTGTTTGATCAAAGCCACAGGGAAAGAAAGAACATTTCCACTGATTTTGTCAAATGGGTTCCCCAGTTGCAGAAGCATACCTGCTCTGTGTGAGTATGTATCCCTTCTGACCAGATACTCTTTACGTAATGAAAATATCCTGTCCCAAACGCCAGAGAAATCAAGGTCTTGGAAAGAGTCTCTTGTTGGCCACAATTGTTCATCTCCTTTATTCTTTCACATATTTTTGCTGAGGGTTTGTCACTTGGGGTGGGGGTAGGGCAATCATCTCTCCATCAGCATCAGAAGAAAAATAAGCAAACACGAACACTTCTGGGCCAGAGTCCTCCCGGCTTAGCCTTCACATGAGACATTTGAAAGATTGGTACAGGACAGAACTGTCCAAAGTAAGCATGAAAAAGGAGATATCTGGGGCTCTCCCTTTAAATAATTTAAGAAATTCCAATCCCCAGCACCTAGCAAATTCTGATTTGCCCAAAACATTTGTTGAATGAAGGTACACTTGTTTAGGTATTCCAGGTCTGATATCTGCAGTGCTTAGCATGATACATTATAGATGCTGAAAATATATCTACTGAATGACTATTGACTGAATGTACTGAACAATGAAAAAATGGCCATTTCATATAACCATGATATCCCAGAATCATATTTCTGTCAGTATTCTCTAGGATGAGCG